CATCACCACCACCATCACAACCACCATCATCATCACAACCATCACTATCACCACCATCACCATCACCACCACAAACACCACCAGCCCCATCACCACCACCACCACCACCACCGTCACCACCATCACAACCACCATCATCATCACAACCACCACCATCACCACCATCACAACCACCACCACCATCACCACCAACACCACCACCACCATCACCATCATCACCACCACCACCATCAACATCATCACAACCACCACCATCACCACCATCACCATCACCACCATCACCATCACCATCACCATCACCATCACCATCATCACCATCACCACCACCATCACCATCATCACCATCACCACCACCATCACCACCACTATCAACATCATCACCATCACAACCACCATCATCATCACAACCATCACTATCATCAGCATCACCACCACCATCATCACCATCACCACCACCATCACCATCACCACCATCACCACCATCACCACCACCATCATCACCACCACAAACACCACCAGCCCCATCACCACCACCACCATCATCACCACCACCACCACCACCACCACCGTCACCACCATCACCATGCTCCCCCTCCAAGGCAGTCCAGGCCTCTTTGCAGAAGGACCCAGACATTTCTGGGACAGCTCAGTTCCTGCCCTCACCTTCTGCCTCCTCCGCCATCTCCTCCTCATTCCCGCTTGCACCCGATGCTTCCATCTCCTCGTCCTCCACCACAGGCGGGAAGGCAGCCTCCTCACTGGCGGCAGCTGGGGCTTTCTTCTTCTTCCTCCGTGCATTCCTCTCCTTCTCCTAGGGCACAGGGACAGTGGCGGTCACAGCCTGGGCCGTCAGCCCGGGGACTCCCTGTGCCTGAGGCCTCACCACAGGTGTAATGGACAGCGATACCAGCCGAGTGGCCATGAGGCGACCTTCCCCCCTCACGCCCCACTGTAGCGGCCAAGCATGCCAGTGGTTATTTTTACCGAGGGCTTTATTCTTCCATCAAGTCCCAGATACACGTACGGCGCAGCCTGGCCTATCAGCTGCCCTGACATCCTTCTGGAACAGGTGAGGAAGGGCTGTCTCTGCCTAAAGGCCCCCGTGATTGCTCCAGCCTCTCTGCCTATCCCAGCCAGAGCAGTGACCATACACCCCAGAGGACACCCTCCCAGGCAGAGTCACTACGTGTGGAGCAAGGGAATGAGTGAAGCTCCCTTGCATGTCCCCTGTGCCCCTCACTGAGCCCCGGGAGACAGGGCTGGTTTGGGAAACTCATCGTCTCACTTCCCCAGCCTTTCCAGGGCACCTCCTGCGTGCCAGGACTGCCTCGGGGCTGAGGACACACAATGAATGAGGCAGACAAGGTCCCTGCCCACAGAGGTCTTCCAGTCAGGGACACCAGCAAATAACACGTCACTTAAGAAGAAGAGACTCAAAGATGGGGGAATGAGCAAGCTGGAATCAGACAGGGTGGGGGCTAGATGGATGGGGAAGGCTTCTTGAAGGAGGTGACATCTGAGCCGAGTAGGGGCATTGAGAGACAACTGGCCAGGCAAAGCCCTGGAGGACGGTGGTCCAGGTAGAGGGAACTGCAAGCAGAGACCCCCGAGGTGGGGCCCAGCTCAGTGTGTGCAAGGAACAGAAAGAAGGCTCTCACTGCAGAGCCTTGCATGTCCCTCCACACGGCACCCTGGTCCCTGGAAGCCCGGCTGCTTTACTCACAGAGCCAGATGCCTATCCCCCAGGTCGGGAACAAGCTTCTCGCTCCTGGCTGGCAGCTTCTGGGTGGGGTGCCCCTAGGGGCCAGGCAGAGGTTCAGAGCACATGTGCGGGCTGACTTACTGACCGAAGGGGCAGCCTTGGGGACTTAAACACATAGTTGGTAGTTGGGGTACACACGGTGGCAGAGTGCTAGGGTCTCATGGTGACCAGGGACTCCCAGAGGCAGTGGACTGGTTCCTAAGAGGGGACGACCCACCCCGATGTAGCTGGAGTGACAGGAGGGTCCCAGCCTGAGCCCTTTGGGGTCTCTGAGGAAGGAAGCAGAACCTTCAACAATCTCAGACATGCCAACGGTCTCAATGAAGCCCCTCACACAGGGCTGAACATTATTCCCCCAGAATCCCTGTCCACCCAAACCTCAGAATGTGACCTTATTTGGAAATAAGCTCTTTGTAGATGAAATTAGTTAAGATGAGGTCATACTAGATTAGGGTGGACCCTGAGTCCAGTACGACTGGTGTCCTTATAAGAAGAGGGGAATTTGGACACAGAGGCACACAGGGGAGCAATGTGTCTATAAGCCAAAGAACGTCCAGCATGACCGACCACCCTCAGAAGCTAGAGGAGCAAGGCAGGCTTCTCCCCGGAACCTCCGGAGGGAGCAGGGTCCTATAGACACCTCAGTTTCAGACTTTTGTCTCCAGCATACATTTCTATTATTTTAAGTCACCTAGTTTGTGGTACTTTGTTACAGAAAACAGGAAACTAATGTATCTCCCCTCCACCAATCCCCCAGCCCCCTGGAAGAAAGCCACCCTACCCAAAACGCGGTACAGCCCACGCTCGGGGCAAATGCCCTGCCTGTCCCAGGTACCAGCAGGGTCTGCCCGCCCCAGGCCCTCACCATGGCTGGGCTGGGAACAGATCTCAGGGGGGTCCCCAAGCCCCAGCCCCAGCCTGGGAGTGGGATCACTTCCTGTCCTGCCTCCTTCCTGAGCAAATGGGGGTCCTCTGAGCATAGCCGCTCAGAACATGGGGAGGAAAAGGAAAACGTCCGTTTGCCCGTTAGTCACGGTTTCCGTCACCAACAGGCCAGGGCCATAGCCCCACCCTGCCGAATGTCCCCTGGCCACTGTGGGAACGCCCAGCTCCGCCATCCACCCGCCTCCAGGGGCTGGCCCGGCCCTGCCCCAAACCCCGAGCTTCTCCCAGAGGCCCAGCTGGAGCCCACGGAGGCGCGAGAAAGTTGTGTGGCATGTGGGTTCTGTGGGTGCGGCTGAGGGTTCCCCCTTCTTCCCCAATCTATTTTTAGCAGACAGGGACTCACTCCTGTGCTCAGGCTGGGTGAGGCAGTCGATTGGCTGCCCAGGGCAGGGGGGTGTTGGGTGGCAGTGGCG